ACATCAAATTTTCCCTGCACATTTGTTAGTTGGCTCCGTCTGGCAAGAACACAGGACGGAGCTGTGCCTTTTCCCATCTCTCTTGTGCTTGTCCTCTTCCTCCGCAAGGAGGAGCGCATGGATCCAGAGCACAAACACATCGTCTCAGCATTTCCAATGAGCAGGTCTTAGTGGTTTCACCTGTCCCTTTCTCCTGCACTCAGCCCATTTCCATTCCTGACCAGTACCCCAGGATATGCTTTTAAGTGAGCCTGTATTTTGTGTTCAGGTTTAGTTTTCCCATAACGCAAGCTACTCTAATCCCGTTACTGCACCCCTGAGCCACGCAATCCCCCTTACAAATTACTGTAATTAATGACAATCCCTTGGATGACATTACATGTCTCTGGGTTTGTGGTAATTGATAGTAACAAAACAATACAACGCGATTTGCTAGGGCTCCCATTTGCCGTCTCACAGTGTCATGTTTGACCTAGAAACCACTATACAAAGCCCAAGCAAAAGTTTCTGTTATGTAACTAATGCCCATCTGCAATGATAAGGAGGAGACAGTCTTAGATAAAGGAGGCTTGAAAACAAAAGCAGAATCAGAGGACTAGGGCAAAGAGCTGATTTGAATATTGAGAATCACACCCCTGGGTGGGGAGAAAGTATGCTAATGAAACATACATGTATGGAAATGAGATACATAGCTAAAACACAGGTATAGAGACATGCTCAGTAAAGAACTCCTTGCGTCACTCCCTTATAACCAATTAGCAAACAAGAATGCTTATGAAGGTCCAATACTCCTGTATAAAAGATGCTTAGAATTAAGAATCTGTGTGCTTGTTACGTGAAATTATTCCGCTTGCACCTTGTATTGCTAGCAATAAATCTTCTTTATACTTTCACCCCTGGTATCTTTATTGGCTTTTGCATACCGGGCACGATCCCAGACTTGAGCTGGGGCTCAACAGTGGCACCCCCAGGCTTGCAGGTGTGCTGTGCAAGGGGGTCGGCCGCAGGTGAGGCACTTGGCGTTTGGCAGGTGGTGGGGCACGCTGAGGTGGGTGGCTCAGCCCAGCACCGCCCCCTACTCCTCCGCCACACCCACGACCCCAGCTAGCCTTGCCTCAGCAGCACTAGCCCCACAAGCGGGGCAGAGACTACTCTGCCTCTGGCAGGTGAAACGAGCCATCCAGGCCCCAGTAGTACCTCCAGAGGCCACACGGGCCTGGAAAGCAGCTGTGCTGGGGCTCCGGCCAGGCCACCACCTCGGCAAGAAGGAGCCAACAGCCCAGCACACCTTGGAGAATGCAGGCATTGATCCCGCTACCTCTCGCATGCTAAGCGAGCGCTCTACCACTTGAGCTAGTCCCCCCTGCTGGTGTGGTTGTTGTTGCTGCTGCTGTTGCTGTGGCTGGGTGGGTGACCTGCTGCTGCAGTCCAGGAGTCTCGTGGGGTGGTGACTAGCTTGCCTGACTTGGGCTGGTCGGAACCAGCTGCATCAAAGGAGCTAATTTGGTCTTTCGGCCGGCTAGCTCAGATGGTTAGAGCGTGGTGCTAATAACGCCAAGGCCGTGTGTTCGATCCCCATGCTGGCCACCCTGGGCTTTAACTACTTCAGTTGCCACCGCTGCCAGGCAGGACCACCGCCCCCTGCACTCTTGGAAGGAGAGAGTGTGAATCCCTCCTGCTGTTTCTCGCCTTCCAGGTCTGCAGCCAACTTCTTCAGCGGCTTACCCCTCTCTGAAGGATTTCCATCCCCATGTCTCATCATGTCTCATTAATTGGATTCCCAATGAAACAGCTCTCACCATACATATCCCTTTACAAATACAGTTCCATGTCTTATCATTTCTTCTATGAATCAGTTCTACTTTCTTGCTTCCTCAGATGCTACAAAAAAGATGGAGGAAAGGGGCTCAAAACAAACTGTGGTTCATGTTCCTTAAGTGTTTAACTACCAGAATCATAATAGAAATAGAAATGGAAAGAGGACCTACATCATTTTTCCAAAGCAGTGTGAAAACACTTCGCCTAACAAAGTTGGCCATCACAAGGGCAAACAATTGTATGGCAGTTACACAGAGGTTGCTTAAGCTACCCTGTTAAGGAAATACTTCACAAGAAGGAGAAAGGGAGGAGACCTGCCTGTTGCAAAAAATATATTTTCTTGCTACTCTGGAGCACATCCCAGCTCAAGCCACCAGAAACAAATCCCCATATACTCAGAACCCACCCCACAGTAGATCCTTTGTTCCCATCACTTAGTCTCCCAATTCACCAAAGTGTGGGAGAGGGGCACAGTCTCTAGCTCCCATGGAGGCAGACACCACCAGAGTGCCCTGGGCAGAAGTGGCCTGCCCTGCCCTGCCTTGCCCATAAGGCTGAAGTTGTCTCCTTCTTAGACCCTTGTTCCTCCTTCAAAGAATTAAAGTGTTCATAAATCATTCATCTGAACAAAAGTATTATTTAACAATATGTTTCAAGCATTTGTTCAATTTGTTCATAAACAGTTGATAAATATGCTATTATGGAGCAACCATTGAACTATTCATTTTGTTAGAAATAATCCAGAGACAGTAAACAAAATAAGAATAATATATAGTTGGAAAATAACTCACAAGAAATTTGCTATATTTCACCTTTAACCTGTCCAACCACAAACCAAGATTCCCCAAAATTTCTATGCAGATAACTTACATACAACTTGGAGAAGGAGAATGTGGAAATTCCCAACTGCAGCATCTGGTTGAGTTCTACATGTTTTTCCTTCATTTCTAGCAAAGATATGCAATAGGGAATGAGGTATAATATTTTTCAGGGTGTAAACAGGGGGAAAAATAAGCCGCATGCCACTGAAAAATAATTTTTTCCAGTGGGCAGGGATTGGGCCCCATTTATATTAGTTACTGTTACACGTTATGGTGATATTTAAGCTTATATTAGCTTTTTTTTTTTTTTTTTTTAAACCAAACCAAAAAAATTAAAAACCCTCGGTCTTTGAGGATCCAGGAACTCCTTTAAGTAGGAACTCAGAACTGAGAGCAAGGAATGGCTTCAGCCTCATACTTCAACTCTGGTTATGCCTATTGTGAGATTAAAAAGAAGAATGGCCCTCAACCCTACACAAAACCTGAGTTAACATGACTGAACAAGAATTGTCACTGGGCATTAGGAGAGGTCAATCAATTATTCACAGTCATTGATTGATGGTGCCATATAGTGCAGAAATATGAAATAAAGGATCTGGTTTGTTCAGTGCCAATACCATGCTCTGAACAGAAAAGTATCAAGTACCAGGGCAGACTTTAAAAATAAAGTATGAAAGGTGGAAGTGTTAGATCATTTATTTTGGAGGAGTTATTTTTGGATTTGGAGGAGAGGGTTTTTTTTCTGGTTTTACATTTTAAAACTCTGCTGCATTCTCTTTCACAACAAAAAGGTTTGCAGAATAAAACAAAAAGTGACAACTTGATTACATAACTAAACAAATAACCCTGGAGAAATGGAAATGTGTCCAATCTGTTTAAGCATTCCTTCACATCTATTGTACCTACAATAGTTTAGCCATTAAAATATTAAAACAGTTTGTGTCTACAAAGGACAAAAACTATTTTCATTTTCTTTCTTACTGAACATTATATTATAACAAGAACCTGCATTCATATGCGTATAATGCTATACTTCTAATAGGTACAAGACTTCCCTCAGTTTGTGCTACTGATTGTACAGCATTGCTATTACTGAGATTTCAGCTAGGGACAGAAGTTACACATGAACTGGTTTAAGTGATCAGAAACTGGCTTAAACCTATAACAGAACAGAAATTCAGTGTACATAAACCAGTTTCAAGATGGCCAAAACTGATTTAAGATAAGTCTGAGACTAACTTCAACCAGGTTTAACTGATTTTAAGTCAAACTAGTCTATGAAAGTTCTGTCCCAGACCCCTTCCTGGTTCAAGTTAATTAGAGTTCCCCAGTATCCCATCATGCCCTGCAGTCCTGGGCTGGGTTGTACTATCTGCTCCAGAGAGCATGGCTAGCCCCACCCCTCTGCTCCCTAGTTGTAACAGCAAGGGCTGGCTACCCCCCACCCCACCCCAGGCAAACCCTGGTTGGGGCCTGAGGCCAGGGAGGGAGGAGGTTAAACCCCCCTCCGCAAGTATGGGGCTTCCCTGCTGGCTGTGACTGTGGACTACAAATCCCACAAGCACCTGGAAGAAGAAAGAGGAAGTGATGAACAATCCTTCAGAGTCCTGCTGCTATAATTGTGGATTACAAATCCCAAAGACCTCAGGGGCAGCAGGAAGAGGAAGAAAACATACAGCCCATGCTGGCAATGTGCCAGAGAGCCATGCTCCCCCAGCTTCTGGCTTGAGCCACTGCAGGCATGCGACTGCATTTCCTGAATCAAAAGCTAATGTCTGTTCTTTTGCTTATTGGTTCAATCTTTGCAGTTTAGACTAACCTGCAAAGACTGAGTCAATTCAGCCTCGGGCTTTTTGACCATCTGTGCTTAACCATAATGTACGTCTTTGTAAACGTGAAGTCCATTTTCATCCAGATTAATTTCTGAATGAAAATTATTTAAGTACTATATAAACCTTAGTCTCAAAATGATAGTCTAGTGAAAAGTTTTGTTTATTTTTTCAAAGATAAAGTTCTTTTCTATAGTCCAAAAGCTCAGTGTAAATCACTATGCAACATCAATTCACTGGCAGAGAAGGGTTTTTCGTTACTGATCAAAGCTTTCCTGCTGTGAAAATTTTGTACTTTTCTAACATTACTATGCAGTCAAGGTGATCCATTCTTCTGTGGGGGAAGCAGCCACCCTACATGGATAACAGCAGTCAAAATAGGTGTTCATTCCAAGAGTTATCTAAAATATTTACTAACACAAGCATCTGATGAGAAGCACAAACAAAGTTGCTGCATTTCAATTGCTAATGTGGATTGTTTTCTTCTTGAGTACCTGAAACCATAGGTACCTGTAGATTCACTAATAAGGCACCTAAAGGGATATTTCTCTTCTGCTTGTCTCTTTCACTACCTGCATCCCCAAGTCCTGCTCCAATATATGTCTGCCTAATCCTGTTGTGTGACACAAGCCCTTCTTAGGCTGATCTAGGCAATTGTTCGTGTAAAGTCAGCACTGCATCAAAGCCCTTCAGAACAGGCCACACAGAGCAGTTAGCTGTGCTACACCATACAGCCAGACACTATTGCAAAGCCAGCCCAGTGCAACTGCCACTGCTTTGCAGTAGGGTACAACTACCACTGTTTCAAATTCTACCAGTCTAGTCATACAGAGCCACTGCATATATCAGCAGTAACATAACTGAAAGTGGGTAACTGGGCCATCAGGCTTAATTCCCATCACTGTTTGGCCAGCAGGCGTACAGCCTTTTGGGCCTCCCTCATGCCCTCATCCAAGTGGCTGCCAGGCAGTTTGCCAAACTGAGGCTGACTTTACTGCACACCCCGCTCACCAGGGGGCTAGGAGACTCCACCTAGTGGAGGACAATGGATAAAAGCTAGGAGAAGAAAGAACTTCTGCACAAGGATCTCCAAAAGGTAAGGGTTTTGCTCAGGTGTTTTGAAGGTAGAGATGACTTGTCTAGATTTCAGCAGGCTGATACTGCAGAGGCATTGAAGATTTAGGTGGAGCAAAACCCCCAGTTTTTCTTTTTGTTTTCTTTTAAAATGCATTCCCTCCCCTTCCCCAACCATTTCTGACTTTTTCTTTCCCTCTCTATTCCCTATAGATAAGTATAAGTGAGCTAAGACATAGGATAAGCTTCAGCATTTTATTTTAGTAGCAAGTTGTATTTGTTTTGTTTTTTCTCCTTCTTTATATTGTATAATTATTATGTTTATATTGATTTTTACTGTTCTATATTACTATTTTACTGGTACTATATGATTTATGCCTACATATGTAAGTTAGCATAAGTCATGTCAAGTTTCCATTTTGTTTGTCAAGTCTCCATCCTGTCCCCAGGCCCAGTTGTGTAACCCATGATTCACACCTACCCTTCCTATGTAACTTGGTTCCTGAATGAATGGGGATGAATGAGGGTGCTTGAGAAACAATAGCAGTAGGTCTAAACATAGCTCCCTCTGAATGACCGAACCATCAACACCAATACCTGGACTAACAACCCAGCCTTTGGAACCACCCTCAGCATTCAAGAAACAAAAGATGAGGCAACCCACCATTGTGCCAAGGCTGCACATGCTCAGTAAGAACACCTGGAGCCCTCTGGAACAGGACTGGCACTGCCTAGACAGGCCTTCCCCATAGGAGATCAGAGGTAGTCTGCCCCATAAAAGGGGTAGTGAAGACTGACTCCTTGGGACGCCCTCTCCATCTGGACCAGCACTATGCCACACCACCTATCCACCCAGAGGCCCTGCCTGTGACCCCACTCTGGACAACACCTGCTGGACAAAGACCCCTTTCCAGCCTGGATAGGTAGCTACCACCCCACACCCTCTCTTCAACCAAGGACTTGGACTCTGTTTCTCTTCCCTACCTGGACTCCAGCCCTTCCACTGAGTCTCTCTCTCCTGCTGCCATTGTGAGTGCTTGTATGT